ATGATTTTCGTCCACTAAGACTCCTGCATATCCTGCTGCCCTTGGATAGTGTCTAACTACCGCCTTGACAATGAATTTTACTCTAGGTTGGTTGAAATGACTCGAAGGTTGGTTGAAATAACTTGAAGAATGATTATAAGAACATATGCATGGGGAAAGTGGTTCGATTATGAATTTGAATGTACAGCTGTCTCTCCAGTCAAAAGGTTCATCAATTGTTGAGCCATGTCCTCTCTTGTTCTCATAGAACGGGTAGTCCTTGATATCAAAAGGAACACATTCCTTAAGGAGTAAAGAGTTATTGCGTGCAAGTACTTCAAGGTTCCAAGATGAGTAAGGAGGCTTGGTTTTATGAGTGATATGAATTTGGCCATTGTGTCGGAGCAAACACCTAGCGTTGCTGAAGAAGTCATGGACGAGACCCTGATGCATACTGTGAACATGGAGGCACCGTTAGCCAATATTCCAAAAAAAGACTTCATCAAACTAAGGTTATTTCAGAAAACGAGAAAACAAAAAGAGTACAAGTTATACCAACTTAAAAATTAGCTCAGGAATTTCCCAACAATAATCTGATATGCTGCAGGGCATGCACTAAAAATGTGATCAGATTATATATTCACAAGTACACTGTAAACTTTAGGGCATATAGACAAAACTTCTAATTCATGGAGTCTTTCTTTTCCGGTAAACCACGGCACCTGGTAACCAGAGGCCGACTAATCCAAAGCCCGGCCAGGTCATGCCCCAAACAGGGGAAAGCTACCACTGCCAAAATTGTTACACTCCCTGATCAATCGCAAACAACTTCCTTAACATTTATCAATGTGTACGGTGGTTAGACTGGTTACTTTATCGAGTCAACCAAACAAGTTTGAGCAATTTTGAAGAGCTTACAATACATGAAAAATTTACCATTTCTAAGAGACCACAAATTCTAACATTCAATCAAATGACAACTAAATTTCAAAACGTGTCATGAAAATGAATGCATCAATCAGCTTAAGATAGAATAGAGAAAAACAAGAGCTCATACTTGATCATATCAGGATTGTCTTCCGATCCATAGAAGCCAGCATGAGGAAAATTATAGACGATGCAATCGAACTTTCTACATTTGAGCAAGGGGTGATCTTTCATCCTTCTAGCATCCACTTCATGTAAAACGGTTGCTCCTAATACTCTTAACTGTACCAAGTTTATTGTTGCTTTCTTATATGTGTTGATCAAAGAACCTGTTTCCAGTTTAAACAATGTATCAGGAAAAGCCTATGATTACTAATTTACTATTGACATGTAACACAAGATAAACCCTCAATTTTAAAGGTCAAAATGAGTCAACTAAGTGATTTTTCGGTTTACATGGGAAAAGAAATTCCTATGAAAAGTTATATAATTACATTTCATTTCATGGAAAATTATTTCCTACTAGCAATTCCTAGGAATTTTCTAATCTTAATAGGTATAAATCTTATTTCTACCAATTATAAGTGATTGATCAAAGACGCTTTAGTAATTTATTTCTCATACTTTGTAAGATGCCTAATACCCATGAATTTCTTTTCATCATTTTCAGTTTTAGTTGTCAACCAAATACTCCATTTACAAATTTCCCACACTCCATTTACATGCTAGATCCACATGTAAGAAGAAAAAGTAGATCTAGTAGGATCTAGATCCAAATACAACTCATTATCATCTCGCAGAAAAAATGGAGAAGTAGAAATTCACGAGAATTCACATTTTCCACAATGTATGAGATACATTACCAAATTCACTCTTTGATGAATTAAAATCCATATAAATTTCAAATTTAACTCAAATGCCAACCGAACAAGCATTAGATGTTAACATGACGGAGAAAGCATTAGGTAAATACAATCCGTTCCACGAGACCATGACCCACTCAAATCAACATCCTCTCTATAGTCTATTGACAATTTGACCCTATTCCACGTTTTTTTTATAGAAAACAAAACAAGGACTCACTTCTCCGCAATATAGCTTCGGCACATACATTTTTCTTTGTGTATTGATAGAATTTTAAAATTCAAGCGAGATTTGTTACACAAATTAATTAATAGTTCAGATTTGGAGCACAATATTCTCAATTCAAATATTATACTCTAAGCAATGTACTCCGTATTAATTATATCTTTCATCCCTATAAATAAAAATAAAAATGGCAAAAGTTAGAAAGATAAAAACTTTTACACAAAAACAATTTCAATTTTAACAATAATTAAACTCAACACAATTTTCAGTCATTTTCAACTTTATCAAATCAAATTTCCCAAATTTAAACAATAATTAAACTTGAAAAGAGAGTAAAAGAGGGGCTCACCATATGAATCGAGTGAAGTGGCAAAAATATTAGTCGCAGAACCAAAAGCAACAGCCAAAGAAAGTGAGAAAGAGAAATCACCTTCACCCACTAATAATATTTCATGATTTGATGAATAATGTTTCACCCACTTTTCTTTTTTTACCATTCTTTCTCCCATTATTATTTCTTCACACACATTATTGTTATTATTATTATATCGAGTATTATTCAAATACATCAATGAAGGTTGAAGATGAAAAGACTCCATTTTTATGATCTTCTTGGAAATTCTAAAAAAAAACGAAGAGGGTTTCCGAATTTCAAATTATACTTATATATTAAATTTTTTACTCACTACCCAGGTACAATTCTAAAATATGGAATTATTTTTGCGGCCCATTCATTTAATAGTGGATTTTATGGCCTTCAAATTATTTGATGTGATGAAATGAGCCCAATATAATTAATAAAATAAAAAAGTACAGAATAGTTCTTAAGAGTATTCACAGTGGATAACCATTGTGCATGGTTATTAAGAGAGATAGAGTAGGAAAGTAATTAAATATTGAGGAGAGAGAAAATTTTAGAGTAAAATTCTTTTAACTAGGTTATTGTTGTAACAGGTTGTGAAGGGAGGTTATGTAATAAAAAAAATACCCACTTTTTGGGTTTAAGGTTTGTCCCTGATGACATGGCACAAGGAGATTGAGTCACTCATTTATTTAATCAACGGTTGAGATTTACTCTGAATTTAACCGTTGTCATTTTTGTAACGACCATAATTTTTAAAATACAATTCTAAAAAAAAATACCAACGGCTCTATTTTATTTTGCTCTATAAAATGAGCCAATATTGAGGTATTTTAAAACAATTTTTATGAAAGTGAATATTACTCTCTTGTAAATCAAATTGTGTAGAGATGAATATTCCAAAATCCAGTAGAAAAAAAAAATCCACAAAATCTCCAAACTCATCACAACCCAAAATAATCCAAATCTTCAACCTTACTATTCTAACCTTCTAATTGATCTCAACTCAGATTTAGATACAAATTTTCAACAATTTTTAAATTATGGTTCACAAAATCTCAATTGTCAAATCTAAGTACTTTCACTTCTTTTCCTTTTCAACCACCACAAAATCCTAATTATTCTTATTCTCAAAATGTTATCCCATCTTTTGAGAATGTTCAAATCTCTCAAGGTGATTCAACATTTCCCATGTCCCAACATTTTTCTTTGTCACAAGGTGATAGTGCATTTTCGAATTTCAATTGCTCATACACATCGAACGCATCAGATGACGACAATGAACCAGAAGTTGAAGAAGTCGAAGGCAATGAAAGAGGTCATGAAGGAGGCAATCAAGATGGAAGAACAAAGTTTTGCTCAAAAGCTGAAGAAGTGGTTCTTGTGAGGGTTCTTGTGAAGGCTTGGCTTGAGGTTAGTCAAAATAAAAAAAAAATCGAATTGCAAGTTTGGAAAATTACATGTCTAATAGAGCTCGTGTTCGTGATGAATCTATGCATAAAGCCTTGAAGAAAGACTTAGTTAAACATATGTGACTCAAATTCGGTGTTAATAGTAGGCAAAATAATATGCGTTAATGGATGTGCAATCGTAACGTTAAATTATTGTATTTCTACTTAATCATGGTTCGTTGTTATCTTTTAAAGATTGTTGTCATTTGATAGAATATGTATTATTTTTATTATTATGGAATTTAGTAAAGTTGCAATTATTGTTTATTTCTTAAATAACGACAAATTACTTACTAATTAATTCTCAAAATGCATTCATTTTATCTAATTAATGTATGCTAATAAATAATTATTAGTTTTGATTGATTATAACCAAGTGCATTAGTTATATATGATAGGATTTAACAGAGAGAGATTGTGTGGTGGGGTTGGGTAAAAGTAGGAGAGAGAAAATGTATAAACAAAAAGTTGTGGTTAGCTATTGGGATACATTGGTTATTAAATGGGTATAAGAGTGGTTATAGGTGAGGTGGATGATGGAGAAATTAATAAAATAACCTATAACCACAATGGTTGTGGGAAATCACTGTGTTTACTCTAACAAAAATTGTCTTAGGTGGGAAAAATGTAAACTACCAAGCGGTCACATTACTCACATAGTTTACGGTTACATAGACGGGTAGATACTAGATACTCCCTCCGTTCCTTTATTCAGAGCTTGTATATTTTTTTTGGATTCCAAAATTAAGGATCTATTTCTATTTTAAGGTTGTACTATTTGAGAATCCACTTTTTGATGAGTTGTCATCACTTTTTTGTACTAGTGATGATTTTTTACATCAATTTTCAACGCTTTCTCTCTCCTTCTTTTCAATTATTCTCAACTACTTTTTTCCTCTCTCTAACCCCACATGCACTTTTGTACTTCCACTAACATTCTTAATTCCCGTGAAGAAACCCAAATATATTCTTAATTAAGGGGCGGAGGGAGTGCTACCTACGTTTCACATTATGATAAATGGAATGTCAATTTTACTTGGCAATTTAGGGATTCACACCTGATGAATTTTCGGAGTGGAGCAAATGCAATACAAATAGACTTACTGCTCACAAGGAGCACAGATAGACAAAGTTGCCTAAATTGCAAGGTCATCCCAGGAGAGAGTGTGGTCACCCAATACCGGCTTTTGGTAATGACTATTCGTTTGAAAGAGAAGGGGAAGAAAAAAGGAAGACAAGAGGAGCCAAGGATAAGATGGTGGACTCTAAGGGATGCAAAGGCTAAGGTTTTTACAAAAAAGGTAACTAAGGATGCGGATTGGGATGGAGAGGTGGATCCAAACATGATTTGGTTACGAATGAAGAACTGTTTCCTATGAGTGGCCAAAGAGGTCTTAGGGGAATCAAGGGGAAGAGTTTCGATACAAAGAGATACTTCATGGTGGAATGAATAATTAAGAAAAAAAGGGAATGCTATCAAGCCTTGGGAAAATGTAGGAGTGACGAAACCTTTGCAGCGTATAAGGAGGCTAAGATTAAGGCAAAGACAATTATTCGCCAAGCTATAGAAAAGACTTATCAGGAGGTTTATGAAAAGCTTGACTCTAAGGAGGGAGAAAAGATTATTTATAAGATGGTAAAGAGAAGACAAGAGGCAAGGAAGGATATTGGCATGGTAAAGTGTGTCAAAGATAAGAACCAAATGGTCTTAGTACAAGAGGAGGACATCAAGGACAGGTGGAAGGGGTATTTCGATGAATTGTTTAATGGAAGTAATGGAGTTGTGATAGGAGATACCTCCGTGTGTGATGAAGAAATCAACATGGAGTATGTGCGGAGGATTAGGAGAGTAGAGGTGGAGATTGCATTGAAGAAGATGAAGCCTAAGAAGACAGTTGGCCCTGATGGTGTACCGATAAAGGTGTGGAGGTGTTTCGGTAAGATTGGTATTGATTGGTTAACAAACCTTTTCAACAAGATATGGACGACTATAGGGATCCTGCAAGATTGGAGGAAGAGCACCTTGTTCCCGGTCTATAAAAACAAAGGAGACGCTCAAGATTGTTCTAACTATCGAGGGATCAAGCTTATGAGCAACACTATGAAGTTGTGGGAAAGGGTGATTGAACATCGATTGAGAGCATGCACAAGCATTTCGGATAACAAGTTTGGTTTTATGTCGGGGAGATATACTATGGAAGCAATCCATTTAATAAGACAAATGATGGAGCACTACTAGAAAACAGGCCATTTCCGACGGAAAAAATCCGTCGGATTCACCCTGAATTCCGTCAGAAAACCCGTTTCCGATGGAATTCCGTCGGAATCGGTTGTCGGAAAACCTTTTGTAGGAAAAACAACCTTTTCCGACGGAAGAGAAATTCCGGCATCGGAAATGTTCGTCGGAAATTTCAGACAAATATTGTTCCATTGGAAAAGTCAATAAAAAAAATAAAAAATAAACAGCCCCATCCCTAAACCGTACCCCACCCAGATCCACCACACCAGCCCCGTAACCCACCCAGTTCAACCACCAAAACCCCGTAACCCACTCAGATCCACCACCAAAACCCCGTAACCCACCTAGATCCACCACCACATCAGCCTCTATCCCACCTTCACACACCACCACCGACACCACCAAAAAATAACCCCAACTTCCCAAACCACCACCGACACCAACCCTAAACCCCTATCCCACCTTCACACACCACCACTGACACCACCACACCAAAAACACAAAAAATCGAAAATTAACCCTAAAAAAACAAAAATTAGCCCAAAAATACGAAAATTAACACAATAAAATCGACAAAAACCACAAAAAAAAAAATCAAAACTAGTAGATCTACATATTTAATAAGAATTTCATAGAAAAATTAAAAAAAACGATAATTAAACAACAAAAATTAAAAGGAAATATATAAATATACAATTATCTAATGAAATTTATAAATTAACATTACAATTACATAAAAAATTAACTAGATCTACAATTAACCCAAAATTTTTAAAAATTAACGATGGTTGTCGATTTATTTTTGTTGCGCCGTTGTTCGTTGTTGCGCCGTTGTTGTTGGTGTTGGTGGTTGACGTTGGTGATGGTTGTCGTTGGTGCGTCGTTGTTGTTGTTGATTGCAAGGAGGATGGAGAGAGAGAGGAGGAGGACGGAAAGAAAGAAGAGAAAGAAGACAAGAGAAAGAGGAGGGAGAAGGAGAAGAAAATCAAGAAAAAGGAGGAGAAGGAGGTATCCAGAAGAAGAGGAAAGAGAAGAAGGAGGAGAAGGAGAGATCCAGAAGAAGAGGAAAGAGAAGAGAAGAAGAGAGGAGAGGAGAAGAGGAGAGGCAAAAATGAAGTTAAGGAGGGAGTTTGGTTCTTTTAGCCTTTTAGGGTTTGGTTTTTTTGATTTTTTTTAAAAAAAAATAGATTCTGACGGAAATTCCGTCGAAAATGTAGTGTTTCGATGGAAAAATCTGTCGGAAAATACATATATTCCGACGGATTTTCGACGGAATTGTTGAATTCGTTTTCCGACAGAGTATAAATCCGTCGGAAATTTTGCATTTTTCGACGGAAATACATGTCCGTCAGAAATTATCTGTCGGAATTCGGCCTATTTCTAGTAGTGGAGTTTTATAGGGTAAAGAAACAGGATCTTCATATGGTCTTTATTGATTTAGAGAAGGCTTATGACAAGGTTCCAAGAGAGGTACTTTGGTGGGCAATGTTGAAGAGGTGTATGAAACTAAGGATGGGGTTAATGCCAAGTTGGAGCAATGGAGGCAAAGGTTGGAATCTAGAGGATTTAAGCTAAGTCGGAGTAAGACTGAGTATTTGGTATGCCGTTTTGGTACTCAAAGGGGGATAAGCAATGAAGTGGTGAGTTTGGATGGAAAGGATTTGACCATGAGTGAATGTTTTAAGTATCTAGGGTCGATCATCCAGAAGAATGGTGACATTGATCAAGACGTGGCCCACATGATTAAGTCGGGGTGACTTAAATGGAGAGCGGCCACGTGAGTGTTATGCGACCGAAGCATTCCCTTACAGCTGAAGGGAAAATTTTACAGGATTGGCATAAGACTAGTGTTTCTCTATGGTACATAATGTTGGGTTTCTAAGAAGGAGAACATTAAAAAGATGGAGGTTACAGAAATGCGCATGTTAAGGTGGATGTGAGGGAACACTCTAAGAGATAGAAACAGAAATGAGGTATTCACAAGAAAGTAGGTGTGGCAGACATTGCAAATAAACTAAGGGAACACTACTAGAAAAACTTAAATGAGCACCGCAAAATGCGCACCAGTTTTTAAAAATTGGTGCGAAAAAAAAACAGGCGGGATTGAGGGAAAGAGTTTTCGCACCGGTTCAAACCAAACCGGTGCGAAAATACGTTAATCGCACCGGTTTGAACCGGTGCGAGAATGTTAATGTAAAAAAAAAAAAAAAAAAAAACTCACCCCTGCTCTTTTTTAATTTCCTCTTTCTGTCTTCTTTCTTTCTCTTTCCTCCATCTCTCGTTCTCTCTCATCTCTCAATCAACTCTAATGAATTTTAGGGGTTTTAATTCTTGTGAATCAATCGTTTATTTGTTGTGTTGATATTTAAAAGTGTGAAGAGATTTCCTCACTAATGTTGTTGTTATTGTTCATCATCTAGGGTTTGGCGATTTCATCGATTTACAGCTACCTACGGTTCTAAAATTGCACAACCTCTCTCTCTAATCTAAATGTTTGGGGTATTCTAACCACTATTTCGAACAACAGGTAATTGATTAGCTTTAACCGATGTCTGATTTGTTGTATGCAAATTTGTAAATTGTTAGGGTTCTTCAATTTATTGTGGGTTTTAATTTCTCTCCTCAATCAAACCCTAATTTCTCTTTTGATTTCCCCCTTTTTCGATAAAATGGAGGTGAATACTGTAACCCCAGATGCGATTTCGAAGATTATTGCAAACCCATCTCCTGATTCTTTTGAAGATCTTCCAGATCTTGTTGTTCAAGTCATTGATTTGAAAGCCGTCGGCAATCGTGAAACCCTAGATCTGTGTTTGAGTCCCTCGATGTCAGCCATGAATGTTTTCCCATTACACCTTCCATCTGTTCGTAGGGTTTCTTGTCTGACCCTCAGAAGAATTCATGGAGTTGGGGCAAAAATCTCATGCGATGATGAAGATGATGTTAATATTGAATCTCCCCCTAATTCGCTTCTTAAGTGTTAGATCCAGTAACTGTAGCTGATGGGTAAATGTCTATGTGAAACCCTAATTTATTTATTATTTTGTTTATTTTGTTTTTTTTTTTTTTTTTATATAAATAGTAGCATGTTTAGGGTGGAGGATTTGTTTGTGGTTGTGACTGTATGCCAGTAACTTCAGTTGCTTGCCAGGATGGATTTTGATAATATTTGTGTTGGTGTTCGTTGATGTTGTGTGGTGGTTGTCGCTTACTATGTGTAGCTTGTGTTATTGTTGATTCCTTTGCCCACCCTGTGTAGCTGTTTGTTACTCTGTTTAGCCTGTGTTGTTTTTGTTTCATATGCTCATTCTGTGTTGTTGTTTTTGTTTTATATGTTCATTCTGTGTTATGGTTCCTATGGTCAGCATATGTTGATGTTGGTTCTAATGGTCAGCCTATGTTGTTGTGAATGTCTATGGTCAGGGTGTGGTAATGTCGCTTCCTATGGTTACCATGTGTTGATAATGCTTCATGTGACTAGCCTGTGTTGTTGTTGGTTCCTATGCTTAGCTTGTGTTGTTGTTGCTTCCTATGCCTAGCCTGTGTTGTTATTGCTTCCTGTGCTCAGCCAGTGTTGTTGTCGGTTCCTATGGTCAGCCTGTGTTGCAGTTGATTCCTGTGGTTAGGTTGTGCTGCTGTCCCTCAACCTGTGTTGTTATTGTTACTTATGCGTAGCCTGTGTTATTATTGCTTCATGTGGTCAGCCATTGTTGATGTTGATTCCTTTGGTCAGCCTCTTTTATTGTTGCTGCCTATGCTGAGCTAGTGTTGCTGTTGTTACGCATGTTAAGTCTCTGCCTTTGCCTATGCTGAGCTTGTGTTGCTGTTATTTCGGTTTTGGCCATAATTATGGATTATTCTTCTGATTTTGATCCAAGTGATTGGTGAATTGTCCCTTTAAATGCATACATTCTTTGAATTTTAAAGATGTGTTGAGTCCTAGTGGTTGATGAATTTTAAGAACGTGTGCTATTGATATCATAATGTGTTGAGTCCCTTGGCCGTTAATAGTTACACTAGGATAATCATATGATGAAGGGACTCTCTTTCATCGTAAAACTTCTCACTATGATTTGCTCCGGTTTGTCCGTTGAGGTAAAACAGTTTGAGAAGTTTTTGGATAAAAAAAACCCCCTGATGGATTCATGAATTATTTGCTTTATTTAGATGAAATTGATGTAGATCTTTGTGGTACTTGTAGAGTTTAGTTGATAGCTCCCTACAATAGTGAGTGAATTAGCTCCCCTAATATTGATAAAAATTATTCAATGAGTGAATTAACTCCCCTAATATTTATTTTGCTGAGTTTTTGCTTTTAATAGTTTAGTTTCTTCTCAATTTCAATTAATTTTGGTTGTGTTAGCTTTAATAACATATTTTTAAATATTTTCTTCTACGGATGAAATTGGTTGTATTGTAACTAAATCAGTGATGTGTTATTCGATGATTGTATTAATTTGTGACCGAAATCTGAGTTTCATTTGATATTTCTAGCTTTAATAACAAGGAAGAGACTGTATTGGAGATTTGCTCACTTGATCACCTAGTGAATGTGTCAACTCCTGTTTCTCATGTGAGTTTGATACTTACTTCTCTAATTTCTGTTGGGGCTCACCAATCACTTTCTTTGATTTTTACATGTTTGTGGTTGCTACTTGCTAAATTGGTCACCATTTGCTTTGAAGGACTTGATTCAGACTTCTAGAACTCTCTCATCACAGGCTCCACATACTAAACCTCAGCATATTTGCTGCTTTTTGCATGATTGTATTAGTATGTGTTGGGTGCTGCGTGTTGCTTATTTTGCTGCTTGTTGCTGCGTTTTATTGTGGGTTAAGTGTTCCTGCTACTGCTTATGTTTCTTCTTTGTGTGGTGCGTGGCCTGCTGCTTAGCTTGTGTGTGGGATGTAAAATTGCTATTTGATGCTGCCACTTTGTTGTTGCTGGTGCGAATTTTTATAGTCCGTGATATTATGCTTTTTTTAACATGAACATATTAA